CCCTTACGTTCATCCCATCCATTGTCCACCTCCAGTTCTTTCATCTCGCTTCATCCCGTTGTGGCTCGCGATCCTTTTCAGACAGCTTAGTGTAAGATTATTAATGTCTTTAAGGTCTTCCGGTTGATTCGTCAGAAGATATGCCTCGCAATAGGCTGATAAATAGGTGTACGAGCAAGATGGATGGTGCGAGATAAGAAGAAGGACCAAGAATACGAAAAAAACTCAGTCGTCGTAGAAGGGACGATTTTTCCGCTTGCCAAAAATGCGTGCTACTTACACATGTTACATCTATCTTTCTATCTGATTAAACACAAACGAGCAATCGATGTAATGCTTCATCATTTTGCAGCAAGATAAATGATGTGTGAAAGAGAGAGAAAGAAAGATCGAAAATATTCAAGAGGTGCTATTAATTTGTATCCATCTTAATATTTATTATAATTTGGCGATAAATAAACAAAACTGATAAATGATCATTATTTAACAAACGAGCAGTCAAAGGTAGAAGCAGTAATGGAAAAGAACAGAACCTTTAGAATAAATTTTGCAAAACCAATAAATTTCTCAGGGACGAAATTTTCGGAGATACTGGAACCTCTCAAGTATATTTCTAAAGAGTATATTGCATCCCTTCCACGCGCTAAGCTACTCCCGGGTAACATAAGTAAGGGTAACGACCCAGCCACACAGAGCAATGCACAGAGCTGTGAGCGCAGTACCCTTTCCCGGCAAGACATGTTCATGTAAATCTCGCAAGTAACTGTATGAAACAGTATACTTTCTATGGCCCTGAACTTAACAGGAATGAGTAATACTCGTTAGAGTATATCAGAGCCCCGTACGGTCTACTCTTGAGAAGTTCCAATGTACTTTTTTTTAAAGCGAAAAGGGGACAAGTATAACCAGAAATAAAAGCAGCAACAGGAATGCGTCTTCCGCTAGTGGAAGAGTCACATAATAAAAGAATACACTGTCGTATAATTCGTACCTAAATTACTATGAAATTATCTCTACGATCATAGAGAAAGAGAAGAGAAAAAGAGAGGGAGAGAGAGAGAAGAATCATGAAGATCGTAATGCATAATACTTTAGTAAATAATATAAATTGCTGTGTATTAATAATTTATGTTTGTTAATTTCTTTTAATTATTAATGCATCTTCAAGATTAATTATGTCTGATGCACAAGAGACATTTTGACTTCTGACTACTACTTCTCTCGCCGCCAACATATTTAATACAATGCTTCTTTCTCCCGAATCTCTTATCGAATTCATCGCTGGATCTTCTTTTATACTCTCTTATTCTTTCTTCCATTCTCAATTTTAATACGTCTCATTTTAGTCTGTAATTTAGTATTTTTTGTACCAATAAGCGAGTCATCAAACACTTTCGGAATTTGTATTAAGTATTTTAATAATTTGCAGAAAATTTTTCATGTACTTCAATACATCAAATTTTTAAAATTTTTTGTATTGTTTTCTCAAAATTTGAATATCGAAAATCTGCAATATATTACTTGCGTAAAAATAGTAATATTTTGATTGGAAGAACAAAAAACAGAAGTACGATAAGCTGTTTGGAACGTATTGCAATGTTAGCGTATAGTACTATTTTAAAACATTGTCGTAAGAAAGTAAGAATGAATACAATACTGTTTGAAATAGAATATCAGTGTATAGAAAGCTGGCTTGTACACTGTTTAAAATACCACAACTCTAACGAAACTCGAAGCAAATTGAAGAAAACTTTCCATACGTTTCTTGACAACTGCAGATATCTGGCCCGTTAACTAACTACTAATTTCAAACAAAGTCGAAGACAAGCACAGCCGGTATTGTACTTCGGTTACTTTTATAGAGTAAGCTGACGCTCGTTGACAAGAGTGCGGTCTATCTCAGGCTCCTGAATTTACCCAAACACTTAGCGCTCGTTATTCTTGCAAACGAATTTTTTTCGCAATTATACACAGTTCCTATTCTAAAATAAGGAAAACAACTCGGGTTCGATCCTGTTGCTATTCTAATGACAAAATAGTCATCTCATAGTGTGTGAGACAAAATATTCTCCTGATCTTCGTTCGTGTTAAAATTTCTTAAGATTAGTTTCTTGGATCCTATTATTTATGTACGTTTATTTACTTGTACATTTTAATTTCTACTTTAATTTTAATTATTACTCTTAATTTTACTTTCAAATAATATTGATCTTACATTTTTTATCTTTGACATATAAAAATATTGAAAAGAGAGAACTGATTTTTTTTTAAATAATAAACTTCAATTTTAAAATTTTGACACGAAAAGAAAGAGATAGAATCTGAAAAAATCTCATTTCATACGTACCAAAAGCACCGCATGATAGGAGATGGACTTCACTTCCTGCGAAAAGCTAAAAATCCATGTAGAATCGTACAATTATAGATATCGTTTTGCATCAAATGCACCGGCCAAAGTAAATTGGATTTTGCTTCTTTACTTCGTATTACAATTACAGAAGTTGCAAACCTGTATAGAATCTTTTCCCGCCTACATATTATATTTTTAACATGTTACATGAATATCTTGAAAACTATACCGCCGATTAAGACAAAAAAATATTAATTAGTATCTCTCTCTCTCTCTCTCTCTTTCTCTCCCTCCCTCTCTTTTTGTACAATATATATCAAGATTAAGATTATTGAATGTGTATCCGTTAATGTAAATAATTATCACCAAAGTAATATTCTATTATTATTTTTTGTAGAATTTCGGATATTTAAAATAATATACCTGTGTTATTAAAAAAAAGTAAATTAATCGTCATTAATATTATAATATGTGAAATAATTGTAATTTGGAGACTGACAATTTTAATTATTTCATAATAGAAAAATGCTCTTTTCGAAGAAATAGAGGTGGCACGTGACATATGTTACAAAGAGAGAGAAATAAACTCCCAGCCATCGGAAGCTTTTACGAGGACGGCAGCCGTTATGTCGAACGTAGACAGCCTCGAAATAGTGAAAATCCATGTTGGACGGATCAGGTAGCGCAATAAAATTCAATAGCTTAAGCCTGATTCGCAAAAATCAGGACGGACCAAGATAAATCTTTGATATGTGAACTATAAAATGTGAACATTCTTTTTACTTACCGTCCGCAAGATCTCGATAAAATAACATCGCTATGCTGAAAAAATGCATTCTTTACAAATTCACTCTGCAAAAATATCGTTCCTTGAGAAATGAGAGTCTTATGGAATAGGAAAGGTCAAATTGCCATTGTCCGTGTACACTTTTGTGTAAAAAACATAAAAGTTTTTAATAAAATTTATTTTTAAAAAATACATGTCTTTTACATATAATTTAAAAAAAATTACAAATGTTTATATTTTTTGTAAGGCAAAAAGAAATTTATTTTTTTATAACATCATTTTTATTTTTGGATAAATTACATTAATCACATATTAAATTCAGTATATATATGATCACAATTATTAATCAGTTAAACATTGTGTGATTTTGTATGCTAAATACAAAATATACACATTTTCTTAAATATATAATCTCCGTCCCTTTTATTATATATACATATATATCATAGTATTAAACACCCCAAAAAACGGACATAAAATCATATATGGCTATATATAATTATATCTGAAAATTAGCGCAATTGTATATGTGCATATACAATTGCGCTAAATTTTGGATATATAATTATATATAAAATTAAATTACAAAATTATATGCATAAAGTCAATTGATCTAATAATTTAACAGTTAATGAAATATTTAATCACTCGTTGCCTAGAATTAAACTAAAACGATCTAATAATGAAAGAAAATTGAATAATCTGATAACAGATATGATATAGGAAGAGATAAATAGAAGTTTTAAAATGCAGTTTTAATTATTTTAAAAAAATTAAGAAAAAAGTCAAAAAATTTTCTACCTGAAAAACGCAAATTGCATCACGCTTGCAAAGTAAGCACGCCATGTTTTCACCGATCGCAATTTGCGTCACGGTAGAAAGGGTTAAAGTGTCAGTTCCCGCGGTGACCTTGCGCAATCGCGAAACGCGAACGTTACCAACATATACGAGAGTGACACACTCGTCGCGTTATTAGGGATAATGATCCTGGCGTGTCGCGCCAAGGATCAGCAACCGAGGACGCTATTTCGAAATAACGGAAGCCGGTAATAGCTTCGCGGAAATAGAGAGAGAGAGAGAGAGAGAGAGAGAGAGAGAGAGAGAGACGTCTAAGATTTAAATTTCTTATAAACTAATCGTATATCTAAGTGATTAAAAGTATTATAACTCTATATGTATTTTACAAAACTAAGAACAGGAATTAATAATTAAGATTACAATAAACTTATATAAACAAGAAATAATAAAATTTATAAATTTAAAAATTTTCCACATTTTTATTGGTTTTATAATTTTCCTAGAATATAAAAATAACATTATTAATATAATAAGCTAAATATGTACTTGTAATACAACAATATATATATTTACAGTTCAAACAGAAATCCTAAACGCTATGTTATAAATATAAATAACTTTTTAAAATTGAAATATTAGTATGTGAAAATTAATTTCATTCTTTTTTAATGAACATTTAACCAGCACAGTAAAATCTTATTAATTTTATCGAGCGACAAGAACGGAAAATTGTTAGGAAAAGAAATTGGAGAATATGCCCTTCCCCCCTTTCCTCATCACTTATATAGCGCAAAGCTTCCAATCACCGTGTACTTGCACAAATACAGATGCGCGCACAAAGCTGTTAAATTATATACAGATGCGTACGCCATCAAGAAGGTTCATTATGACATGGAAGGGGCACGATATTAGTGTTTGTAAAAATACATATGGAAAAAATACCAAAATAAACGGGGCCAAATTTAAGGAAACTCTTACTGTATTATAGGTAATATTAAATTATTACAATTTCAACCAGTTTTATTTTGGAGAATTTATTTAATTATATAATTGAAAATGTTAGCTTATAATATTAAATAATTATACTATTTTAATTACTTTGTAAATTGATATATATGTAGTAATTAATGATATATATATAAGATCCTAACTATATATATGTATAATTGTCGTTTATCCATGTGTAAATGGATATAAATACATGTAAATACCTAATCCGAAGAGTTCCGTATACATGTATAATAATATATCCTACTTTTATACGCATTCATGTAATAATGTTAAGTTTTACTTTATATCAGTTTAATTTGATAATATAATAATAATAGTATTATGCATATTCGTTCTTATATAAAATAAAACTTATATAGCTAATTAACCTGTATGTTAAATACTGGTTAGGAATCGTATCCGTTTTCTCAAGAAAATCCAGCACAGGGAGGGTCTGGAAATGTCCTGTTGAGGTTTCCGGGCCCCCCCTACATATGCGCAGGGTAGGCCACCATGGGATTTTTAGTGAGTAGAAATCCCACACTACCCTCGGCAAACCCCTCCCCCATCTCCTAGGAGCCGAGGGTAGTCTTGTCAAAAATTTTCCCCATGTAAAAAAAAAGGATCGTATATAATAAAGAATAAATTAATTCCTTTCGTCATTCAGCTATCTTTCTGTAACAAATCATTAAATCATAACCGAAACAACATTCTTTGCATTTATATACGAAGACAATTAACAACAATTAACTGTGTTATTAACTGCATTGTCAGAATTAGATCTAGAACTTTTATGAAGAATGAGAGACTTGCTTAGACTGTAGGTGTTTCAACGCATACTCCATAGATAAGTTTTCCATAATCTTCGCGAAAGGCTTCACTCTCAATTTACCAATTTTCTCATTCTGTTTTCCGTGAGCGAGTGTGGCTGTAGCTTCGACTGTACGTTGATTCAAACTATTCTCGACATCGTCATCATCATCTACAGTAATAACTTCAGGCGTTGTGCTCTTTTTCTTCTCATCCGTTTTTTCCACATTCTTCGAGTTCGACATACATACATAATCAGTGTGGTTCTTCAAATGACTTTTATACTTGTCTTCGTCAGTAAACTTACATAGGCATAATAAACATTTTATCAACAAGTCCTCCTGAGCTGATCCATTCAATTGTGAATTAATCATATCAGTTTGAATGGACTCCGCATGAGCATATCTCAGATGAGCGTGAAAGAACATCAAAGATGGATACTCTAATGGACATAAAGGACATGTGTAATTAGAATTACAATTGTAACTACGGATTGGTTCAGACTTCTGATTTGTAGTTTCATTGCTTTTCCAAGCTTGTGGTACGATAACTACAGTTTTGAGTGATGCAGTTGATTGGATCACAGAGTCTTTAAATTTATCAGTAGATTTATTGGATGACAATATTAAGTTGGTATTAACCTCATTAATCGACGCAGATTTTAAAGAATTTGTATAATCTTTTTGAGGATCATTAGTTGATTCAATGGATACGGGAACTAAAACTTTAACTTTAGAACCATTAGCATTAAATTGATTACTTAATGCAATAGCCACAGATGCTGCAATGTTAGTCTTAAATCCACTAATAGATGGCATCGCAGGAATTTTCTGCATGATTTTATTATTTTCCAAAAGTATAGCTTTAATTTGATTTGGTAGTACAATATCAGTTTTATCTTTTATTTCCTTTTTATCTAAAATATTCGAGATTTTATCTTGAAAAAATTGCGTCGAGTTATCTTCTAATGTTGCTGCTACCGCTGTTGCTGATGTTGATATTGTAGTTGTTGCTGCTGCCGCTGTTGCTGATGTTGATATTGTAGTTGTTGCTGCTGAGATTGATTTTGTAGTTGCCGCTGGTGATGCTGATGCTGTGATTGTTGTTGCTGATGTTGTAATTGCTGTTGCTGATGTTAATGTTCTAGTTGCTGCTGCTGGCGTTAATGTTCTAGTTGTTGCTGTTGATGATAATGTTACTGCTGATGTTGATGCTTGATTAGCTTCAACCAATTGCTGAACAGAGTGTTTCCGAATATTGTCGCCTTCAATAATGAAAAATGGAGATTTTAGGGCAATGCGTTTGGCAGCCAAATCATCAAAATGGGTTTGAAGAATATGTGTCTGGATAGCATTAGCAGAGAAAAACTTCATGTCACAGAATAAGCAGTTATATCTACATTTTGCTGTATTATGTGTATTGTTAGATTTAAATTTGTGTTCTATTACTTTACTTGCAGTATTCAAAGATAACGTCTGTTCACAATCTTTACGGTCATATGCGTCATCATACACAGTATCATTTGAATGAAAGTGTTTCTTGTGACATTTCAATGAAATAATCGTTTCCAGAACTTCGCCGCAAATGCGGCACGCATATCCATTATAAGTATCACGACAAAAATGAGTTAATTGTCTATGTTCATAAAGCAGTTTAAATGTTCTACATTGCCTCTTGCATCTATCACATCTAAAATCGCCATCATTAGAGTAAAAGGCTGTATGCTTTGCCATATCATCAGAATCTATACATTTTAATTGGCATATGTGGCAAGTGTATTCATTGGGGGATTGTTCAATTTCTTTTTGTTGATTTGTAGAACAATTTCTAATATGTTCTTGGGCCTCGGATGCGTGATCAAATTGACTTCTTTCTTCAGATTCTTTTACAATCTCAGTCAAATTCTCTTCATTCGAATGGACATGCATATTATGCGAATGAAAATGTTTCTCGTGATTAAATCCCTCATTACATATGTTGCAAATATAATTGTAGGATTTACGCTTATCTTCTGAATAATGTGTAAGTTTGTTATGATGATTCAACATGTACATTCCTTGAAACTTTTGTGCACAGAGCGAGCACGTAAATGTATGATTCTTGTAATAGTACATCCTGTGTTCCATATAACGGTCATGCGTCTCAAATACCAAATCACATACATTACACATCGTAGTTTGAGTATCTGATATCTCTTCATTCGTGCGAGAATCGTGCGTGAGTGTGTCAAGTATTTGTTGGCCATGCAGATGTAATATATGGGGCCGAAGTTCATATTTTTTAAAAAAACCTTGATTACAAAAAACGCAATGGAAACTGTAGGTTTTTGAGATCTGCGGTACATGTGCCGCAGTAATATGTGTCTGTAGAAGACGTTTCGAACTAAATGCAGTGCCACATATCGGACAGACATCAGTAGTATAATTAAAAGTACGTATGTGTTGCTGCAAATTTTTATGGCTGTGAAATTGTCTTCCACATATATCACAGGGATAAATGTCAATTCTTGGTTTAATAACATCCAATTGCGCATTTGCAATATCTTGGTTACTAATCGTAGAATTACTATTTTCCAAAAGCTTTTCAGAATTTTGTGATTCGTTGACAATTCCGATTTCTTTTGTAACTAAATTATTATTAACAGAAGAGTTTTGTTCATTTTCATTAATTTCTGTCTCCTTAATAACTTTTGGATCCTCTTCACTAATTGGCGATATACGATGTTCATTTGTCATTTCTGCAGAGTTCTTATTTAAGCATTCATCATCAGAATGAGTCTTTTCATCACATATAACCGTAAGTCCATTGGCATTATTGCTGCGCTGCACCTTAAGAATAATTTTCGGCAACTCATCTATCCTTTTCATGGAATCTTCTTGATCCGTGGTCATCTCTTCCTGTAGTATACAAAAACTTTGATGTATCATCAAACTTGTCTGCGTTAGGAATACAGTGCTACATTGAAGACACTTATAATTGTTTTTTATCGAACTGCATTTTACCTCAATATCTATTGGACATTGATCATTTTCTTTTTGAACATACTTCAAACAGTGAACATTTAAGTGTCGTTTCAACTCTACATAACTAGATAATACAGTATAACAAACACAACATTGATTTTGCTTAGATAGATGTTCACTCAAGTAATGTTGAAGTAATTTATGTTTCAGCTTATATCGTGCGTCGCATATACTTGACATATACGCTATATGAGATGACTTAATGTGCATATGCTTGTCCAATTTTGAAGAGAAACTCTTCTTACAAACTTTACACAAGAAGGAACCATCATTGCATTTCTCGGTGTCCGATACTGTCTTCATTTTTGTGATATCTACAGCTGAAACAGTTGTTAAACGTTCCAGAGAAACTTCTAACTTTTTTAGCACCATTTCATTTCGTACATCATTTTCTTGAAACAACATAGAATTACATTGAGGAGAGAAGGAGATGTTTTCCTTAAACGTGGTTTTAATTGCAGGAATTTGATGATAATTTATTATGTTCTCATCGCACCTTGTTAAAATAATTCTACAATCCTTGCAGTTAAAACGGACCATAGCGGTTTTCCAGAAGTTAGAATCTATTTTATTTAAATTAGTCACATTGTGCTCCGTTTTAGTACTACGTTTTGTGTTAAATTGAGATTTCTCAGATTCTTTGCTCTTCCTCTTTCTTAAACTTGAAACTGTTCCCGCGGAAGATATAGTTCTTAGAGACCGTAAACTATATGGCACTTCTTGATAATATGAAATAATGTCATTCCTTTGATCTTTGGTTACTTTATCTTCGATAATAGTATTTGGAAGTTTTTCCAGAAAAGATTTCATCATTTCAACATCCGCATGTAATTTTACAAATGGCTTTTTGGATACTTCGTGATTTCTATTTTGCTCCAAAGTAGAATGTGCCATTTGTTCTAAATTACTTGATTTTGTAGATAAAGAATCAACTTGTTCATTATACATCTCTGAAAAATTTGATTTAGGATTGTTTATCCTTTTTTCATCGTGAAATAAAGCGGACGGAAAACTATCTTTTATAATGTTAGATTTATTTGGACTGGTATTAATATCGCGTTTTCTTTTGCAGAGTTCAAGATATTCTGTTAATGTTGGTTGCCGTAATTTTTTCATAGGTGACATTCCATCACTGAATGATTCTTCAGTTCTTAAGTTCTCAGTCTTCGTCACATCATCATCGCTCGGAGATTTATTATTTATAAGAATAATATTTCGTTTCTTTGATTTAATAAGATTACTTAGACATGGTGACTCTTCATGTGCATCAGTCTTCAAAGTGTCGTTTTTACGAAATAGATTTTCATTCTTGGACTTCGGATTTTCACGTTTAGTTACGTTACTGGAATATATTAATTCTCTATGTAAGTGAAACAAGTGCGATTGTAGAAGTGCCTTCTTTTTAAAAGGACGATGGCAAAAATTACAAAATACTCTTGAGCGGCAATTGACGTTGTAACATTTCGTCGCTCTGTAACACTTTATGGTATGCAAATAAAATTTCTTGTGTGTCATATAATGCATTTTACAATTTTTGCATTGATAATCTCCAATATAAGATTGTTTATGTGTTTCACAATTTCGAAAAGAGGAGAATGTTCTAAAACATATATTACATTTAGTAGCAGTTTCTTTTCTTCGAGTTGTGCGTTGCTTTTTGGTTCTAGAATCTGATGTGATACTTTGCTGTTTTCTTTTTGTATTAAATTTGTCGGTTGTTTTCGTAAACGTATTAATATTCTTATTTTTAGAAATTTGGAAATTGTTGGAACGTTTTTGTTTCTTCTTGGGCAAAGCATCGCGTACTTTTTCTGTTTTAACAGTCGCTCTTTTACGTTTTAAATTAAAAGTTTTATCTGCATCACCTACATATGCAGAATGACTGTTGGATATACGTTTACTCTTTCTACTTTTTACAGTTTTGGGCGCAATATCGTTTTCGAGTAATGATGCTTCGTCGTGATTGATCATATTAGAACAATTTCTATTTAACGTATCATTTTTTAAATTAGAGAGATTTCTAATTAATGCATCCCTCGTGTCAGTATTTAATGTCATATCATCGGGCTCATCTTTAATCTTCATCCCATCTTGGATCTCCGAATCATGCTGAAAAATATGTAAGTCTAGTTTAATTTTCTAAATCTATTTAAAAGCAACAAAATTTTCTAATTGTCAAAAGCAAAAATATAAAAGAACTTAAAAAGCCTTAAACTTATAGCATAACGATAACATCACGAAAAACTCCTACTGAATAAATTTTGAAGCATCTTCTTTCCTATACGCGTAAATGATCAGAAGAGTCCCATTAGCACACATCCACATAACTCGACACCGATGCTCAGAGTAACCAGCAAGATTGACCAACAGAAGGTTTTAGTGTTTAACTGGTCAATTGTAATATAGGCTAACGGATCGCGCTCAAGTAATCACTCTAGAAGTTTTCAACTTGTGTTATATAACTTATTAGTTAATATAGATGAACAAGCGTTTTTAGGTAAATATGTTGTTTTTCCATTAGAAAAGTTTGCGTTGGGCAACATATCAATTTCAAAGAACTTGACCTAATTTAATACAAGTTTTGGGCTATCTGCATTAGTCATACACATACCTCGATGTAGTACACAGTACGGGACTCTGGCACGTTATAACGAGTTACCCTCACTCTCAAATCAGTAATGCCAGAATGTGGTCCCGGTTCATCGGCTCGGCAGTGAAAGGGATAACGCACATAAGCGCGAACCACACTCATGTAATGCGCAGAATCTGCCCAGGTCTTTTACGCTTGTGTGCGTTATCCCCTCCTGCCGAACCGATGAGCCGGGACCTCGTTCTGGCATTGTCTCAAATTCAAAACCGTGGTAGTCGCGCGAGACTTGCACGAATATGTTTCAAGTATATTGCCCAACAATAATTCGATCTGTTCCCCTAGCAAGGTGAACGTAAAAGTAGGGACATTTATACGGTGAAAATAAGTAATAAGAAATATTAGGTGTACAACTTTGCTTCCGCCGTTTTCCTATAGATGGCTTTAGCGGTAAGTAGTGGTCGAAATAAATAGATCATAGACGTCATGCAATAAACTTGGGCATCTGTCAACATAACCCCAAAGAAACATTAGTCGATTTGTGTCTGCATCATAAAGCTATTCTCGATTGAAAATGTCAGTTTGGCCAGCGATGGACAATACTTTGAATCATAAATGTATAACCAGTTTTTTACAATAAAGCCTCGAAGTTCGGAAAAAAACGGCGGAAGCAAAGTTGTACACCTAATAAGAAATAAGAGTTAATGGGATAAGTATCCCCACTCCTACGTTTATCCTTTAATGGATAACAAGGAGTCAAAGGAGAACATTAATATATGTAGAAAGGTCTTTCGAAGTGTAATTCACTCATTCATAGTACGGTTATCAAGAACCTAGGATCATCATTCTTCTGAAATCATGTTGCAACAATCCTAACTTAAGGAAATGACACCTCACTTTTTGTAGTGAGTGACCCTACTACCATGAGCGTCTGACTCGTAATCGGAAAGTCCAGAGTTCAATCCGGAGTGTTCTTGTTTAAGATATTTGTCACTTGACTATGTTTTCCAGAAAGCGTCCTCTCCGATAGGGCCCATACGTGCCATAATATAGATATATTTATGTCTGCCATCTCCATAAAATTCTATTTAAGGTGGCAGGAGGCACATACCAAGGAACATCCCTCCGTAGCAACGGCACTGTCTGTGTATTTACATACTTTTTCAGCCCGACAAATAATTGTTAGAAAACATTTGTGGACTTGAAAAAATATGTGAGGTACGAGTGGCTGAATCGGGAATCTTAATCTTTCGCTTTCCGGGCAACTGTTCTTACCACTGAGCTATTCAGACCTCACATCTCATGCCACTTCAACACAGTATATACGACTTTAGAGCGATGTTGAAATCTCGCTCAATGGATGCAATGCCGACTGCCACGGAGAGACGACATACCCAGTACGTCCCCAGAGCGGTCCAATCATACTAGACGATTAAAAATTGGTGCTTTAGCGATGAGTCTTGACCAATTACTAATATGCATGGAAGCAATCCTATTTTCTGATTCAAATTTCTCTATATTTTATATGGATCGTCTATTATAGTAAATTCTACCCATATTAAGTTGTCCCCCCCCCCCACCAACGCCAAATAAAGTCGCATCTATCAAATAATTTAGTGCTAATTATGTGCTAATTTGTTGCCGTAGTCCGGATTTTGTTGCTCAAACCGTTTAGCAGGAATTTACGTTCAAAGTGGGGGGGGTGGGGCAGCTTGACATTAAGCCAGCCCCTCCCATAGTGAAAAAATTATATAGAATGCTCGAATCAAAAAATCAAATACACCAGAATTTATTGCTATTTTGTTGCTCTGAAATAACACAAAAACATTTTGAAAAAAAAGTATATTATTTAATTAATACCACTATACACTCAGTCTCGCCTAGCCGTGCCATCCACTTGCGCGAAGTAAAAGTAAATGAAAAAATTTGTTGCTTGCATGTTTTTGGTATTAAAATAATCTATGGACAATATACTATTGAAATATATACAAGATTAAATTTGTTGCTCGTTTTAAAGTATTGAAATTCGACGCTTTGTCTTCGCGGACCCAATATGACGCGGTCTTTTACCATATAAGTTAACTAAAAGAATTTGTTGCTCGCATGTTTTTGGTATTAAAATAATCTGTGGACGATATACTATTGAAATATATACGAGATTGAATTTGTTGCTCGTTTTAAAATATTGAAACACGACACTTTATCTCCGCGGACTCTATACGGCGCGCAGTATAGGAGCCAAGTATAGATGCAACAAATTCAATCTTTTATATATTTCAATAGTGTATTGTCTACAAATTATTTTAATACCAGAAACATGCGAGCAACAAATTTTTTTAGTTAACTTATATGGTATAAGACCGCGTCATATTGGGTCCGCAAAGACAAAGCGTCGAATTTCAATACTTTAAAACGAGCAACAAATTTAATCTCTTTTATATTTCGATAGTATATTGTCCATAGATTATTTTAATACCAAAAACATGCGAGCAACAAATTTTTTTATTTAACTTATATGATATTGTAAGAAAATATGTGTATTTCGAACACCCGTTAGTAATAGCAAAGACGATCCGATAGAACGCGAGATATCGATGATTAGAAGCAGCGAATCGAGAAGCTCCACCGCGTTTCGATATCTATCGAAGCGCCGGCGCAGAGAGAGAGAAGTAGGTATAAAGGTAGACGAAGACGGTTTAGAATAGTAAAACGGATCTTAATAATCAGTTCAGCGTTCTTAGAGATAAAGTTATTATAATCAACCACGGTCCTTTATACTTAAAGCTCTTTCGCTTCCTAACTGACTCGACCACGAATACTCCGACTTCCTACGAAGTATACATAGCACGTGTACCGGCCTCAATGGTCATTAATTTGAATAAACGAGTGGATTTATAAAAGGAAGAATATTATCTCTTCCTTCACGTTCATTCCTACAACTAAAAAATATCATAAGCGGGATTCACGTCATCCTCAAAGATCAAAATGGATTGCATCGGTCTGAATAACATGCCCACGGAGAAGCTAAAACCGGAAATTCGCCGCTACAGACTGCCTTCTACGGACGACTGCTACCCAATGATTGACCAGCTCATGAAGCATTACAAACGTAACAGCCCGGCAATGAATCTGCTCTCACTAGGACATCCTCAGCAATGCAAGGTGAACAAACCAAGGTTTGTTCACCTTGCAAGCACGGGAGGCGCAGTCAGGAATCGCGATGAATGCGTTCGCGACAGCGATCACGACGCAGATGCAGCAAATGCAGCAAACGATGCTACAACAGCATCAACAGCAGCAGGAGTTGCTCCGTCAAATCCTGCAAACCCTCACCAGGAATCCACCGCAAGATCCGCCGAATTAGGGAACGTCGCACCACACGACACTGTCCAGCACAGATGCCCCATCGTCGTCCAGCCAGGGTACATCACATCATTCCTCGATAGTAGCTGCACCATTAACTCACGCCGCCTCGATGTTGGCCTCGTAAATTCCAGAGTTCGGAGAAGAGAACGTGGAGCTACGGGTCAAACGCATAGAACAGGTATCTCGCATTCACGGGACACTCGAGGGCATCACGTTCCTCGCAGCAATAAGCAGGTTAGTCAAAACGGCCTGACGATGGTACAATCTGGGCTCAGGTTCAATAATAGAATCCTGGACAGGCTTCCGGGACACCATTCTTAAAAGATTTACCAGAAAAATCCTATACCATCTGACCATGCAAAAAGTCGAGGCTCGTAGATGGAATTACGCAAAGGAATCTTTCTTGGAATATGCGATGGATAAATTAGCTTTGATTCACAATTTAAATTAGTCACCGGACAGTACCATCCACCTTTCAATTAGTGGAATACGTGTAGGTCGCTAAGGGAAACATCAGCCACATTGAAAGTCGATACGGTACCATTTTTTAGAATCTATGCATCAAATCACAGCAGCTTCGCTAGAAACTGATAGAAAATCGTTACACACAACTAAAGGCCCCAAATCAAAGGAGTAACAACTAGTTGTGGAACCTACGGCAAGCAAAGGCACCTACAAAAGAATTGTAAGAAAAACACCCCATTCTACAGCTATTGCAAAACACCGGGTCATCTACGTGCGGACTGCTTCAAGTTGAAAAGAAAAGAGCAAGCGGCCATGTCAGCACAGCCAACACCGGTAGCAGCCGTAACAATAGCGGAAGCCAGGAGACAACGAAATAGTCGCATTTGTTCTACCAGACAACGGTAAGAATCTTTCTATAGACGAAGCTCTCGCGAAAGTCACAAGGTTGAATAACAACGATTGTTCATTGCTCACGCTTGTTGATACTGGTAATCTGATTTCTTTTGTTAAGCCTAATGTATACAAGAGGTTTCTGGATCATTCGGTTGAATGTTGGTCACTTTCAGGTTTTTCATATAAAACTTTAAATAATAAACCGATCCAAGTTTCGGGTTCAACAAAGATGATAATAACGTTAGAACAATTACCTCATTTACAGCTAGCAATATCTTACAAGAAAACGGCATAGCCG